GCATTTAAGTGTTTTGAAAATGAATATTACTACTTTATGGTGTTCCTGATTATTCCCATAGACTTCACTAAGAGTTTTATATCTGTACCCTTTGTCCAGTGGACAAAGTGCTTTAATTAAAAACTGTTCTATAGTACCACTTTTCAAAGCAACAATAGCACAGGTAATTCAGTTTGGATCATTTACTTTATCTGCAGGAATCCTAAGAACTATGGGAAGAATCTTGAATGTTTTTTTTATTTAAATAGCGATCAAAAGACGGACACGAAAAGCTAATTTATTGGCTTGTTGCACTTAGGCCCCACCATAATAATATCTGGTAAAAGTTAGTCATATTGCATATTCCAGCAGTAAAATTACAGCCCAGGATGCCTTGAGGCAGCTTCCAGACACATGGATTTCTACTCTCAGAAATGGTTGATGCAAAATTCTGGAAGTTGAAGGCCATGCAAGGTTGCAAGGTTGAAAAATACTGTCTCTTTGTGCACATGTCTAGACACTGAGATGATTTTTGGAGACTATATTTTGAGTGCTTTGGTTTAATCCCATAAACTACCTGGCTACAAGAAAATAATTCCTTCTCAAGTATCACTTTTGGAATGTTCTAGAAAAACATTTGTCTGAAGTTTGTGATGTTACTATAAGGAATAGTCAGTTACCATAAGGAATAGTCATTTAACATAAGAAATAGTCATTTTTCTTTTTTTAAATGTTCTAGATTTTTATCTCAGAAGTGCAGGAACACTATTTCAAAATAGATTGTCTTGTTTCTCTTCTGGTTATTTGTTGGATTCATATATGTTAATTTAATTAAATAAATGCACATAATCCTATGCTTACTTATCTGGAAAATATTCTACATAGTAATTTGTGCACTTATAAGACTACATCCTCCTACACAGTTATTAGCTCCTTCTGGAATAAATACAGAGTTAAATGATATAAGGGAGAAAAGTTGCAACATTTATCAACTCCTCTATTTTGAGCATTCAATAAAAAATCCTCCACATACAGATGCAATATTTTGAAACAAATTTTAAGGAATATGTGTAAACTGAAAAAGAAATCTGATGCCACAATGCCACTGTTCTTATAGGCATATTCAAATTATATCTGAAAATTACAAGACAATATTCTAAAAATATATTTGCACATTATGTGTACCTACGTAATCCAAAATTAAAAGATTGTTTCAAACTTTGGCTTATTGTACTAAAATAAATCATGTTTTACCCATAGACTGCCAAACAATCTGCATTAAGTGTCAGTACCACCAGAGTGAGCTTAATGGCACAGTGATGTTTCTGCAGGAGTAATCCAATATGCCAGGAGTGTCAAACTGGATACAGGGCTGGATCAGCATTGTAGTTCTCCTCCACGGGCTGGCAAGGGGGAGGAGGCAGATGGGACAAACTCCTCCTATAGCACCCTGCCAGCCAAAACGGGGCACGGGGGGCTGCATGAAGCCCCCATACCCCAATTTGGTTACCAGAGTGCTGCAGGACATCCAGGCTGAAAATGGGATGGGGAGGGCACACATGCCATCCCCATGCCAATTTGGGCTGCCAGAGGCACTGCAGGCTCATCCTTTGCTATTTTCAGGCCAGCCTGGTGGGCTAGATTTGAGCACCTTGCAGGCCAGATGTGGCTCACGGGCCTTGAGTTTGACACACCTGCTATATGCTATTCTATATGGGATATGGCCTGACTGTAATATATCTTGGATCAGAAAACAACTTTGTGGAATCTTGTTCTTTATACAGTAATTCTAATACATTTTTGGAAAAGCCCATTCAGATTCTAAAGTATAATTTACAAACAGTATTCCTTATTCTATCAGTTTTCTGATATGATTTTCCTACTATTGTTTTCAATGCTAGCACCAGAGATTTCTTATTTGGGGGGAAGAGGAGGAGAACAAATAAAGTTAACAAGACATTCTACTGTTTCAACTCCTTCCCTCAAAACGATGCTATAGAGCATTGCACACCAGAACAATTAGACACAAGAACAGTTTTTTCACAAAAGCCATCACTCTGCTAAACAAATAATTCCCTCAACACTGTTCAACTATTACAAGTCTGCACTACTATTACTGTTAATCTTCTCATCACTCATCACCCATCCCCTCCCACTTGTGACTGTATGACTGTAACTTTGTCGCTTGTATCCTTACTATTTATATTGACTGTTTCCTAGTATGATTTGATTGCTGATTCTACCCTATGATTATCATTAAGTGTTGTATGTTATGATTCTTGATTCTTAATGAATGTATCTTTTCTTTTATGTATACTGAGAGTATTTACACCAAGACAAATTCCTTGTGTGTTCAATCACACTTGGCCAATAAAGTATTGTATTGTATTGTATTGTGTTCTATTCTACTGTGCAGTTGTCATTTCATGTTTTTGATTCTTCATGCAGACATCCCTGATTTTTAACATTTTTAATACTGCAATGCTAATTAGAAAGTAAAGCTTTCATCCATATACCACCAGAAAATGTTTGTGTGAATAGATATGGCAACCTTTTGCACCTTGATCTCTGCCACTTGCATTACAAATGAGCAAAGGTATACTTGAATATAGAAAACACCATCAAATTGGAGATAACGGATAAATGGGAATTGTCTCCAGAATAACATCAATAACAAGGCAATTTATTGAAACCAATGAGATTTTATCCAAACATACAGTATTCTTTTAAAGTTCAGTGCTTTTACATAGGCTCAAGGTAAGGAAAGCATTGAGGGCATGACTCCTGGAATTTTTTTTTATCAAAGGGAGCCATAGAGCTACCTGTATTTTATTCTGTGTAACCAAATAATGTGTTATGGCGTGTATGTATATGCATTTTCTTCCCAGAAATTAAATGTGCTATGCACATGCACATTTCTTGCATGTATCTATTCAAAGTAATAGAACAGAATAGAATACTTTATTTGGCCAAGTGTGATGAGCCCCACAAGGAATTTGTCTCTGGCACAGTAGTTCTCAGTGTACATGCAAAGCAACATCATCATCATCATCATCATCACAACAAACATCATCATCAACAAGAGGGGTAGTAAAGAAGAATAATAGTGCTACAACATGAGTAAATGTACATAGATATTAGATACTGCTGTGAGAATTAGGTGTTCAGCAGAATGATGTCACACGTCTAGTTGTCCTTGTAGCTAGTTATTTTGGCATGCAATGCCCTATAGCAGCTTCCTGAGAAGAGGAGTTAAAATAGTTTATGTCCAGGATGTGAAGTTTCTGTAGATATTTTCTCAGCCTTTCTTCTGACCTGCACAATATATAGGTCTTTCATGGAAGCCAGGCTGATTCTTTCTATTCTTTCTGCATTTCTAACTATCCATTGGAGTCTGTACCTGTTATGTTTGGTTATGTGTTGTTTTTCTGTGTGCATGTGTCTACTCAGACTATATGCATTGTCCTGTAGAAAGTAAGGAAGGTGACCTGGGAGCAAATATGCAGAAACTATTCTTTAGACAAAATGGGCTAAATGCTTTTTTTTTAAAAAAAAGTTCACCAAAACGAGATATTTAGGCAGGTGCCTCCCTGAATTGCAAGGATGTTTTTAAGGTTTGTGAGATTCAGCCTTGTAAGATTCTGTTATTATAGTTATTACTCCAAAAGATAGTCCTAGTCTTTCTGCGAATTTTTTAATTCTATCTAGTGGGGCTGAAATGCCCTGTGTGTGTGTGAAGAGAAATAGTATGTTTGATTAATATAGACACATAGGCTGTGCCCATGTATAGCTTGATGATCTCCCCTAGTTATATCTGGGTGGGAGATATACCTTAGGAAATACAGGATAGACTTATTGATTACAGACCATCAAGTTTTGTTTGACTCTTCACAACCACATAGATAGATTTTCAGTAGGATGATCTGTCCCTAAACTGGTTTTTCAGGTGTTCCAACAGTGCTCTCATCTCACCATAATAGAATCTATCTATCTTGCTGCGGGTCTCTTTTTCCTTCCATCTTTCGAGCCTTCTCCCCAAAAAACCAGAGTCTTTGCATAATGGGTCTGAAGTAGGATGATTTAAGGCTGGTCATTTGTGTCTCAAGGGAGATCGCTGGGTAGAACAGGACAGACTGCACACCCTCCATTCTGGATCTCTTGGTTAGAGGGAAAAAGAGGGGGATAGACCAGTCAGGTGCCCATGGAGCTGCTAGGCTGCCTCTCGAATAGAAATGCACTGGAGGATTCTATTCTGAATTGTGTGTTGCTCTGCAGTTCTGAATTGTCTCCAGGCTATTTTCGGCTCTTCTTTTGCTGAACTTGAACTCTGGTCTGTTTTCAGAGAATTATCCTGCTCTGAATATAGGATACTGAATATAGGAATATAGGACTGAATATAGGACTCTGAATAAAGAGTTCCAAGTTCTTTGACACAATTCCAATTCAAGTTCCCATTGGTTTGGAAATAATAATAAAAAAAGAGGAAAACACAGTACTAGTATTCCGTTCAAGTCCGGTTTTAATGTTCTTCGATCCCCATCCGCAAACTAGCCATTCAACGACGACGGAGAAAATAAAAATCTACCTTAGCTCCCCTCTGAATTCGGGTCCTGGCTAGTATTAAAAGCAGGAAAAAGAAGTAAACACGCTTAAGTTTTACCGCACGGAAACCTATTAAAATCCAGAAACTAACCAAACAACAAATACATTAAGTTTTGCCCTTAATGCAAAGCCCCCGTATTTGCCATTTCTTAGTTGTCAAACAAATCGCCTGTATTTTTATTCTTTTTTTTCCCCCTCCCCTAATCCGCTGTTAAACTCACTCTACATTTTGCATTCGCGTTCGTGATCCAAAGATGGGGCGAAAAAGCCTTCAGTAGAAAGCAGGCTGCCGCGCTAGTTCCCTCCCTCCCCCCGCCCGCAGTCGTTTGTTGTTCAGGCACTTTCGAAGACAGACTCCAGAAGATGGGGCTTTCTGGGAAAGGAAGGAACCTCAAGCAGTATCAGCCGGGGTGGCACGTGGGTTGGAGAGGTGGTAGGTGTGCGTGGCTGGAGATTCTGGCTTAGTCTGTGTTCTTTTCCTGGCTGTTTCTCTCCACCTGTCCTAGGATGAAAGTGGTGGCTTTAATCAGGTAAAATAATTGCTTAGCGCTGGGAAGCTGTCCGGAGCAGAATAATAGTTGCGTTTGCCGGTGTCTTGGAAATGGTAGACTCTCTTATTATGTCAGCAAAATGATGCAAGTGACAATTAGCCCAAGATGCTTCTTCTCCCCTCTTCCCTTCTCCGCGTGCAATCAGCAGTGTGATAGATTTTATGAAATACAGGTGCTTCCCTTTTAAATGCATTTCAGAAGTTATGGGTATTCTGTCTCATCAAACTCGGGAAGCATTGTAAAATACTAGTTGTATTACAACTGAACATTTAAAGGACAATTTATGTCCTGTTGCAGAACTCGAACTTCAGGGTGCATTCTGGAGCATGCCTGCATGGTGACATTTTGGACATTTTTGTTTTAAGATTTTTCTTTTTATGAGTATCCATAACAATTCTCTGTTGATGGCTGTCTGATATACTGCTATAATACTATTAAATCTAAACTGATATACAGATAGTCCTCGACTTACAACAGTTCTTTTAGTGACCATTCACAGCTACAATGGCACTGAAAATAGTGACTTATGACCATTTTTCATTCTTATGACCGTTGCAGCATCTCTGGTCACAGGATTACATTTGGATGCTTGACAACTGACTCATAGTTATGACAGTTGCAGAGTTCAGGAGTTATGTGCAAGTCAATGGAGAAACCAGTTTCACTTATACTGTAACAACCAGGTTACCGATTTAACAATTGCAGTAATTCACTAACAACTGTGGCACGAAAAGTAGTAAAATGGGGTAAAACTCACTTAACAAATTTCTTATAAATGTTGGGCTCAATTGTGGTCGTAGGTTGAGAACTACCTGTAAAGTTTTCAGAATGATATCTGGGATGGCACTTAAGAATTATATACAGTACTCAGGGTACAGTCACATAGTGCATTCCTTGGTGAATTAAAACATAATACATTGAATTAGTCCATTAAATATATACAGCACGGCATATTCAGCTGTGAATTAACTGAATGGGATGAGTTTGTGCCACATTGCAAACTAAAACATGGCTGGCTATTTTGTGGTTCAGTATGTAATACAAACATAGATGTACAATTAAAGAACAGAGGCTCTTAACACACAAGCTTGGCCTAGTAATCCACATATTAAATTATTTTGGTGATAGGGATACTCTTAATTTTACTTCAAACTTTTTCCACTTTGGAAACAGACTAGATTTGCTGTAGTTTTGCTGTTTGCATTTTCAAATACATAGTTTGAAAATGTTTTGAATTGCTACAAATCATTTTGAAGTTTATTCTCTACAAATTGTAGTGAATCAAAGGCAAGCAATGAATTATATAAAAAGGAAAAGGGAAAAATCAGCAACTATTCTTGAGATTAAATAAGTCTAACAACAGCCTGCTGCAATAAATAATGTTATAGGAGGAGAGCTTGCTATAACTAGACATTTTTTTAGCATTTTCCATCTCCTCTTGCTTCAGTTTTGATAGAAAGGCTTCACCAGTTCACATTTAAAGAATGTGAATAGTGTGTGGCATACACAGATTTATGATCTGATGAAATGGCCACTTGTAAATATGATGTGTTACTTTACAAGTAATTGTTCTTTCTTCTCAAATTATCATATTAACAATGTGTGCATTACTGGGTATATTCTATTACAAGAACTGGTTTGAGGTTTGCAGAAAGATTTTTTGTATACTAATCAACTTAGTACTATTAAAAGTTTTACTAGCAATTTTATTTCATATGATTTTACATTTGCTGAGTTTTCCATGAGTATATCAATGTCTGGCGTCAAGCTTAGAGCTGTAATCTAAAGGACAGTTCTAATAAGTCACTAGTGTAAAACTTGGTTGTGTCATGTGACATCACGTGACATATGGTAACTTTTTTTGCTTTTGCAGAGCTGGGGTGGGCATCCAGCCCTCAAGCTGCCAGTTTGACACCCCTTTTCTAAGCCATGAGTAATTATATATATAAAAAAACCAAATCATTCACAATAAAAGACATCAAGCTTATGGAAAATTACTAAATGGTTGAATTAGAAATTTTCTAAGGACCATGGATCTTCTTGTGAAGTCTTTGGAAGGACTATAGGTTTTTTTTAAGATGCAAAAAACATTACTTGAAGTCTGTTCCTTAGAAAGTAGTGTTTAATTACCCAGTTACGTTCTGAATTGTGCTAAACAAAATTATGAACAAGTCAATTATTATAATTATGGTTTTTGGACAGAGCAAAGCTTGGATTGGACTCCTGTCTTGATAAAGTCACTCCCTTCCCTCGGCCCATCCAACCATTCACTTTTTAAAAGTTCTATGCATTTATTGGGCAAATGGATTTCAATTTGTAGATGGAGCAAACAGATAAAGCCACCCTGTGGAACGTGGTCCTTTTTATTGCCTAGCTTTACTCTGACTCATGGTGGTCAGTAGATACCAGTTTGTCTCTGTTTCTAATCTGCTTGAGAGTTGAAGATGCATTTCCTTCAAAAATGGGGTAGGAGAAGTCCAATCAGTGGCCTTTTCCATAGATGCACTCATTGTTGTTCAAGGACACCTGCCCATTGATATTATGGCATCCACCCAATACACAAATGCCTTCATATGATTTGCATCCTGCTCTTGCGCAAATATGCTTTTTGAACATATTTGAACTATATGGGAAAAGTATACAATAAAAGGTAATAATGGAATATTTCATTATTGAAGCCTGCAGGTGCTACCTAAAATGTAACAAATTATCTAATGTTCACTTGGATTAATTTAGTGTTCTGTTCAGAACTCCCTGAGTCAATGTATGTTTAGGGTATTCTATAAAAATTTTGTGGGGAAAAATAATTTAGTTATAATTGTGTAATCTTCTCATTTTACTTTTCAAATTTAAGTATGCTTACTTTTTTTAAAGAGCGGCCATACTTTGAGAAACGCTGAGCATTTTTCAAAATGAGGCAATTGTGAAGAATCAAACATTTGTGCCTCACAAATAGTCTGGAATATAGTGCCTTTCATTCTGTCTGATATCCTTGGTAACTAAATTGTTTCTGATGGATGTCTTGCACCCACACAACATTAATTTGCATTCTAGTTTCAGCTTGTGAAAAGTCACTGACATTGAAGGTTTAACAATAACTCTTTTAAAGCTTGATGTTTAGTTGTGGAAATTTTTCTGGCTGTGCATTTGTTTTTAATATTTGCATTCAAGTGGAATGGTGCTTTTTAATACAGTCAAGATGATTAAATGAATTTCAGCACTTACTGTACTCTTACTTTCTCTGATAATTTATTCATTTTCCTAACCTGCTAGATACGATAGATATGAAATCTGTTTTGTAGATGGAGATAGTTATGATTTGGCCTAAATAGGTATATTAGAAAATCAGGTTGTTTTTTCTACTAGTGTCCTAAATAAAATTTATTGTCCACAATAAAATTGTGCAAATAGTAATTTCATTTCTCACTTACATGTGAAAAATAATAAAATAGATAAGAAAGTTTGGTGACAAAGAGAATGAAGCTATTGCTCCAATATTTGAATTTAAGGTATAGGTCATTCAGCTAAAAAATATACATAAACATAGTTAGTGACTCACCTGAAAAAAAAAAGCTGAAAATATACCAATTATTTGAAAAGCACTGATATTTTTAAGTGTAAATAATTTCACTGCCATTTTGAGATAAATATAAACTTTACTCTCTTTACTTTCAAGAGAGTTCTTATTGAAAAGTTTGTTTGATTATCAGATAACACAAACTTTTTTCTTCTTCTAGTGGTGGAAAAGACAGCACTTACAATATGATGCATTGTGTTGCTGCTGGTCATCAGATTGTTGCCTTAGCCAATTTAAGGCCTAATGAAGACAAAGGTAAGAATTCTATATTTTCACTTAAAAACCTTTGAACTCTTCATCTAGAGCCAATGTTTTATCATTTCATTTGTCAAACAAAAGTGGAAAATGTATGAACTTGTTAAGAGTGCTTTATAGGAGCATGGGAAATTACTTTATACTAAGTCAAATTATGTCTGTGTAGCTCATAATTACACTGTAAAAAGTATTCCAAATTCTATATTTTCTTTGGAGTATGTATACATAGTATTTTGAGGTAAAAAGGTAAGTTTTTGTGGAAAGAATTGCTCTGGGTAAGACTTGTGTCCCAGCTAAGTTGTTTATAGGAGATAATCTGGGATAATGTACTGCAGTTCTCTGAGTTACATTTGTTTTAAATATCAATCTTCACCAGAAACACCAGTGTTGCCATTTAAGCTACATGATTATTTTAAGGGTTATTGTGCATGAGATGCCATAAACTTTGATTTATTATAGCATTGGGAGTTGCAGTAAATTACATAAATATTAAATTAGGAGTTGATTTAGAGGGTTTTTTTGTGATCTTTTGAAATAAAACATTGCCAATATTTAAGATTATTTTGTATTTATACTTCATACAAATGTATGATTTGTAAGAATTTGAACATATCCCTCCAAATTGATAATGCATTTATAATAATTTAGAACCTGTTTTGTGTAATGGTTAAATTATTGAATTAGAAACTGGAGACACTGAGTTCTAGTCCTCTTGGACATTAAAGCTGGTTAGGTTACTTTGGGTTTTTGATATGTGCCATAAATCCAACAATATTTTGATCAGAACTCTGTATCTATACAGTACATGTTTGCTCAGGAAAACATGTTTATCTTTTATCAAGATGTATGTGCGCTTAGAGAACAGGTGAAAAATGTGGTTAATCAAATGGAAATATTACGGTAATATAGTTTTAAGCCAGGATCTCCAAACTTGGCAACTTTAAGACTTGTGGTCTTCAGCTCCCAGAACTCCCCAGCCAGCATGGCTAGCTGAAGAGTTCTGGGAGTTGAAGTCCACAGGTCTTAAAGTTGCTAGGTTTGGAGACGAGAGGTGGGATTCAGCAGGTTCTGACCAGTTCTGGAGAACCGGTAGCAGAAATTTTGAGTAGTTCGGAGAACCGGTGGTAACCTTCCCCCAGGAGTGGAGAGAAAATGGAAATTTTGCAGTATCCTTCCCCTGCCACGCCCACCAAGCCATGCCCATAGAACTGGTAGTAAAAATGTTTGAATCCTGCCACTGGAGACCCTTGGTTTAGTGGTTTGGATCCATGGTAATTTTACTAAGGATACAAGAAATTCTTCCATCTGTTGAAAACTTGTGATACTTTTACTGGTGGATCAACTTTACAGGTGCTCCTTCCTACTGGTGAAGAAGAATAATTTATTGATTATCCTGTTTCTCAATATCCTACTCCCTTACCAAAAGTCTGAAGTGGGTTGAATAATTTTTTTTGCACTAGTGGCGGTATGAAGGAAACTCCTTCCAACCCATAGTTTATAGAATACCATAAGGTTGTCTTCCCCCAATTTAGGATGTGCCCAGGATAACTTATTATAACAGTTTGTTTAGTATTATTTCAGTCTTAAAAGCATTTATATCTTTCAGCCAGAAAGATTCAGAAAAAGCTTGTACAATAATAGAAATGATAGTTTCTGTCTTTTAGATCCATCAAGTAGACAGGCAATAAAACTTCAAGGGCAGTTCTTAATGTTTCATGATTCTTATTATGGTAAACTGTAGTACAAGCGATGAACTTGCTGGTCTTTATCACAGGGTTTTGGCCTTTGTGACAGGTTGTCCCATTCAGCAGGTCAGAACAGCAGCAAGCAGAAACTATTAACTTCTAGGATTTTTTTTTAATTACAGTTTTTTTTAAAATCATAAGATTGTTTCTGCACTTATATCATTATGACTTTTACAAAGGTCAGTGATTTTTTTTAGAAGGAAGGAATGAATGAATGGATGAATGATGACATCCTGAGCTGACTCCTAATACAAGACTGAATTTCTGTTAGTGCATGTTAAAAAAAATAATTTCCATGCACAGGGAAGCTGTGACCGTAGTTGATAACGTTTATTCATTTTTAACATGCTTGGGTTGTTTTCAGTATTATTCTGTGTTTTGCATTTGGGAATAATTGAAAATAATTGGGGGTAGAAGATATTTTTGCTGTATAAAGGGAGTTTTTAAAAAGGAGTACTGTAAACTGTGTTTAATATATTTTTGCAGTAATGTTCTTACATGTACACTTGATAATGTAGAAATGCTCTGTTTGCCTTTCAGAAGGATTCGATGAACTGGACAGTTACATGTATCAAACAGTGGGCCATCAAGCTATAGAATTATATGCTGAAGCAATGGGCTTGCCTCTCTACCGTCACACGATTAAGGGTACCAGTGTTAACACAGGTAGCATCTATACAAAATGTGAGGGTGATGAGGTGGAAGATCTTTATCAGCTTCTGAAACTTGTCAAGGTATTTTGTATGGCAATTTCTTATTTTAAAATATTAGGATTAAACCTATATACATCAGGCCTATAGTCATCTATTCTCAGTTTCCAAAAAAGAATAAACCTGGAAGAAGAAGCTTTAATTTATAGCTTGTTCTGCTCTTTATTGTTGCTTCCTACTTCAGATTAAATATTATTGCTTCCCATTTCAGCTTGAATATTATACTATTTATTTATTAATTTATACTAAGAAATACATCAGAATGGTATGGTGATCCAATATGTTCCAGATTTTACACTGCTGATTATTTTTTCTTGTGCCCAATTTATGTTTTTTATTTTTTGTGTATTTAACTGTTGGGCCCACTGTAGTTTCTATATTAACAGCCCATGAATTTTAAAGGAAAATAAAAAAGAATATAATTTATTATTCACATTGTATTATTTATTTAAAGCATCATCATGGATATACTGAATTACCAGGATAGCAGGTTCTGTATTTGTGGCTGATTTTTCATATAAACATCCCTCCTGGAATAGATGAGACAATCGTGACTATTGGTCTGAAAGTTGGTGGATGAATTTCAAATAGGATGCTTATTGTTTTTGTTCTAATAGAGAAATTATACTTAGAAGATTTTCAACAATAACTATGAATATAATAATTCTTATGTTGTTTCTAAACTTGGATTTCCTTTTTAGAACAATGGTGTGTTTAACAGACACCCAACTACAGAGAGATCAGTTATGGATCTCAGCAGAATATTTTTAGCATTCATACTGATTCAAGGAAATGGACCATTGCTTTGAACAGAAATGTAGGTGGAAAAATGAGGCCACCAGAAGGTTGTTCATTCCAAATTTAAACATTTCTGACTTGGATACCTGATATCTTATGCTCATAGATTATTTTGTTTCCCTCTGGCTTGGTAGGAGAATGACTGAGATAATGTATTGGAAATTGTGAGCGTCCTATGAATGCAGTGCAGGCATTTAACTTCTGCTGTAATAAACAGACTAAAGAAGCATTAGCTAAATATTACACACAAAATGTAATATATGTGTAATATTACACATTATGCTATATGTGCAGTGGAAGCAAACTCGTAGATGAAACAAACTTAGGCATCTTTATTTTTTTCTCCCTTTTATTCTGAATCTCTTTCTTGGCTGCTTGCTAAATTAAGTGTACAATCTCTCACTGCAAAAATAGCAACACAATGCATAATGAGGATCAATGTACTGATCCCAGTGGTATTGGTTCCATAGAGGTTCTGAGAAATTGATTTTAGCTGAGAACAAGTTTGCTTTGCTCTAAAGCAATGGCTTCAAGATTGTTCCAGCTTTATCTTCGCATTTATCAGAGGATCCTTAATAAGCATATAAGTAATGGAGAAACTTTATGGAAAGGAAGTTAATATACAGTATTTTTAATGTAACATGCAACATATGTGCATATTCTTATCAGGTCACATAGACCAACAGTGAAACATTTGTGTAAGACAACAGCCACTTTTTCATGAAAGGAAGTAGTAGGTATAGAAATGATTACCTGAGTGTGAAAGCTTTGGAAACTGTGGCTAGAAGAATGCAGATCTGAGTTCTGTTTGAAAGCATTGTCTTTTAACTTTCATGATGGAGAATAGCTCAAACTATTTCATTCCCAAAGGCATGAAAAAGTTGCAGTAATAATATGAGGTAGGGGTTGGCACCAGTTAGGACGTCAGCTCACTTATTTTTAATGGAGTGACAGAATCCAAAATTAAATAAATCAATCACCTCCTCCCCCAAAGCCCTGAAATCTTGCAGGATGTCCATGCTTGTGCAGTGAAAACCTGCACTATTTTAGCTTTTTAAGAAATATTTTATTTGAAATTAGCCCCAGTGCCGTTGCATAGTCTCAGCCCTCTCTTGAAAAGTTTTCTTGTTGTTGTCTTAACATTTAAAGCAGTTTGCTTATTGTTTAAGGAATAGGGTTTGAAAACTTGTGGTACCATTAGACTTGATTCTAATACACAATGTAGTTCTTAGAGAATTGTTCCAACTTTTTCCATGCTAGAAGATTATTTTTGGCTGAAGTAGGAGAGGGAGGAAAGGAAATGTATTATTGATCAATTAAATTAAATGATTAATAGTAGGACAAACTTGCTTTTCATTTTCTTCCAGACAGCAAGGACTGAATACATTGCTATTATCTGGAGAATAACAGTCAGTTATGACATAAATTAATGCTAATGTTAAATCTTGACAACTTCTGCTTTGGAAGTTTGTGTATGATATTTATAACTATAGTTGAAAGAGATGTTATCAAGTTGTCTTGGACTAAATAAGTGATGTATTTTTTCTAAGTAGATATTAATTTCACTGAAAGAAAATTCAAAGATATAAATATATGGAATCAATTGCATTTATGAAAGACATTCAATAACCGTGCTTTTACAAATGAAGTCATTTAAAACACTTCTATAATTGCACTTGAAAACTTGCCTACGTCAATACATTATTGGGTACTTTATAAGAACAAGAATAGGAGTTTGGGATTAGGAAAGAGAAAGGGAAAGGAAAAGGAAAAGAAGGCAGGGAGAGAAAGAAAGGGAAAGAAAAGAAAGACAAGAAAGACTAATTTTTCCCTATGGCCAGGTACTTACACTTAAGAATTGATGATCTAGATACAGTACAGTGTATTCAAATAGCCTCCCAGACTATTCCCTTTCTCTGAGAAATAAGTCATCCAGCATTTGGTTACAAACCTTTAATAAAGATAAGCCAGCTGAAGGGTTCACACATTGTGTAAAGCTATGTTTTTAACACAGTTTGCTAAACAAACCAAAGTTGGCTGGGTTTATGCATTATAACCTATACATTCACAAAACATCATTGCCAAACAAAACCATATTATCATATACAACGATGTACAAACTTTTTCAGTAAGTTTCACTGTCAGTCATTAGGCTTTTCCTTCAAATGTTTAGTCATACAGGTATCCTCCATGTGTTTTCCCATGTTGGAATGAGATATCAGTAGCTTTACTAATAGTAATACAACATTAAGCTGCTAACGTAGGTGACTTCAAATGTTTAATTTTAAAAAGATAAGGTAATATTTTAAAATAGCAGTCTTTGATAATTTTGGGGGGCTTATTAACAAAATAGAAACAAATGCTAAACTTACTCCTCTTTTTCTCGGTACACTGATCTACGTTAGTTTTGGCTCTGCTGATTGGGGATTGTGAGAACTGATGTTATACCCCTCTGGAAAATACCAACAAACTGCAGATATTGGTCTGAAGCAATGATTTTTTTGTATTCATATTTGGGAAATAATTATTGCAGTGTGTTGTAAATTTGCAGTTGTTGCTCAAAATGTACCGTATATACTCGAGTATAAGCCGAGTTTTTCAGCACATTTTTTGTGCTGAAAAAAAACCCCTCGGCTTATACTCGAGTCAGATTCCCTCTGGAAAAAAAAAATGGTGTGGAGCTCCGGAGCTGGGCAGCCGCTTCCCTGCTTCCGTGTTTCCTTTGCAACCTGTAAGCATGGGGGTAATCGGAAGCAGAAAAGTTCTTGCATGAGGATGTATTGTTTTTTCTTT